GTTAATTTGTAACAAGAACGTCTTATTTCATAGAAAGGAAATCCTCGTGAAATTTCAGAAAAAATAGAACCTTGCAATCAGACTTAAATAATAATTCGCGGATGAAACAGAGACAATTAGAATTTTGGATAGACTTAAAACAATGTGGACAGCTAAATACTCTTTTGAAAAATAGCAGCCTTTCATGGATTATATGCATACATAAAACGAATTACACCTTTACCTATAGAAAGTGGAAAGATAGCTCACGGAAATCGATGATTGGAGGATAACTTGCCTAGGTTCTGGTAAGCGTAATAAAATCAGATCCTATATACTTGAATTGATGGCACTCACTCCTGCAATAAGCAATCGAAAGACATTTTTAGATCTTCGATTTGGTCAACTGAGAGGATCTTTTAATGTGATAAGGAGAGCTGGTCATTGCTAATGCAATAGTTCAGCATTAACGTGAAGCTTATTCCAAAACTTCCTAATGGCAACCTAGGATTCCTTTGAAAACAAACTTTTCAGCGAAAAGAATGATTGCCAAAAAAAATCTGTAACTGAAAAGAAAAGGCTAATATTACAGTTCTAGATTTAGAAACTTCATATGATGCCTGATCATGATGAGAATAAGTATAAATAATTAATAAGACTTTAAATGAAAAACGTACTTATAGTTGAATTATATACAATAAAATTTAGCCAAATTTTATTAGCTTTTGACTTCAAAACAGAGTTGATTATTCATAGTAGAGCGTGCTTTATGACCAGATTCGTTCTCATCATAACCTTAAGGAGTAAATGTAACTGTAGCGTGCTCATTAGGTGTAAGCATGCACCATTCAAGCATACAATTGGATTGCCAATTTTTACAGCTAAAGTATGAATTTCAAGGAATAAAAATGATTTCGAAAATAAGCTTTTTAAGTATAATCATGTTTGCGCAAATAACTTATAGGATAAGTAGATAAGCTTTACAAATAAAACAATATATAATGAATGCTTAGCATGACAAAGGAATAACAAAAATAAAATTTACAATAATATAAAGGATGAACTTTTAATATATAATTTTTTCTATTTCCAGAGGTTAAAGGGTGAAATATCTTAAAATGCCTATTTTAAGAATTATATGACTAATCATCTAACATATGCGCAGCGTAAAAAGGAATATATGAAGAAAAACCATATTTTTTTCTATATTTGCACAAATAGACAACTGTCAATAAAAAGATTAAGCATCATTTAATAATTTACTTTAGTTCAGAGTAAATCAATGAGTATGGTTGCAGCCAGTGGCAAAACAAAAAGACAATCAATAAAATAAACGTTAGATGTTGGAAGCTTCCTCATCGTAACATGGAGAAATAGTATTACGATCTGTCATTACATGAACTTGCCGACCTATATGCAAGTTGATATCAAGTTAGTGAATGAATAGATCCGCTAACCTAACCAGACGTATGCGATTAAAGTAACTCGATGTAATAAAATTGACTGTAAATTCAATAAAAGGTCAATGTGCTCGAACTTTTCAAGGTACGTTTGAATCAGTCTACGTCGACTCTTTCTTTACGACGTTAACTAGTTTTGTATTAATAATGCTGAATGAGTGTTATGGAAACTAGGAAAACCTACGTGATACGCAGCTATACGTACTATTAGTACTTTTGTAGAGATATTTTTAAAAGCGGATTCCGATAGGAAAAGTGAAAGTTATCTAAAAGATAGTGGTGTGGGGGGATAGCAAAAGATTATAATAATAAGATGATACTTAGAATGAATTAGCCATATTAATATCAGACCATGTTAGGACTGCTTTAACATTGGCAATTAAGCCCATTTCTAAATTATTTTCAGCAGATTTTTACGAAATAATCACTTTTTTACTGCCTTTCAGAAAGTAAACTATTAAGACTGCAATACGAGCTTAAATAATATTTTAGAGTAAAGCAAACTAATAAATTAAATGCAGTAGATCAGAATTTTCATAGTACATCTAAGTTTTTAAAAGAACATTAATTTAAAACGTAAATAAATATGAAATTAAATACTTAATGAGGTATAAATAGATTAATATATTTTAATTATTGAGTATAGTCACACCTGTAAGGAGAAATACGCTGCACCAAGACGGCATAATTTGCACAAAAGTAAGACATGTCGAGAAGAATATGGGCCAAGGTAGCCTGCAATTGGAAGCACATGACGTGCTAAACTCGCGAAGTCCTTAGCTGGAGGGGGCTGAGGAAAATTGAATTGACCATTTGCAGCATTAGAGGCGACAAAAGCTGTTGGCTCTGAAACACGAATCTTAGAAGTATTCTTGAGGGGAGGCTCGATAAAGTTACTAGAATCGGCGTTGGTAGAAGTGTTCGTGGTGGCTGCAGAAATAGCCGTTTCATCAGAGATATTAGTATCTGCAGGTACAAGAAACTGCAATTGAGTATGTCGGATGCGATTACGTGTGAATATACTTGGAAGAGGACAAAACCTAAAAGAACAAAAAATGGAAGGTGTAAATATCAAGCCAAGAGGTGAGAATAATAAGATAAATTAAAATAAACTAAGAAATTTAGGTAATGATTGATTGATAAGGGTTTTTTTTCAAACAAACGGACAAGTAAAAAATTAAAGGCGGATAGTACAAATTTGAGCTATCTATATGCAAAGGAACTGTATTAACCATATTTGGTTTAAGTGTGGTGAAGGATTGATGCTGAATTTTTCTACAATGTCATAAGAAGGGCTCAAATTTCTATATAATTTCGCAAAATCTAGTTTACCAAAATGTGCTCTTATCCAGAGTACACTGCAGTATCAACCTCTAAAAGGCCTCATCAGTACTCCTAGAGTGGCTCAAAACCTAGTACTTAAGGGTGTATTGTCGATATGTTAACCACCAAGCCACACTGCAACGAGTGCCTTTAGGTCACAGATAGGAAGAGAATCGAATGAAAAGCAAAGCCATACCTAGATGAATTTCTGTTGTAGGATAATCAATAAATGGTATTATTATGCAATAATTAAAGAAAGATCGATTAAGTAGTTTGTTTTTTTAAAAGTAAATCTGGATGAGAAAATTTTTCGGGAATAAAGGCTATGTAAAATCAGATGGAAACAAGAGGCCCATCATATCATTAAAAGAAGGGTCAACTATCATTCATAAGTCAAAATAAACAAAATATGGTAACCAAAGATCTTATTCAAGATATACAGAAAGTCTTAAAAGCATACTACATCTGTCTGGTGACCAATTAGTATAATAATTCAAAAAGTAAGAATACAGAAGAATCAAATAGAAACATAGAAGCAAGAACGAGTCAAAATAAAACAAAATTATAGGATAGGAATGTCATTGTTTGGGAGACCTTCATTTCGTATGAAAATGCATGGAGAAGGGATTCGTAGGTTG